TTGCCACCTTGGCACCCCGGCCGATGGATCGACCTTGAAGCCATGGAACCAAGCTCCGCGGCTCTGCGCCATGAAGGCGCCCATTGACCATAGAGGATTGGGCACAGATACGCCGTGGGTCCTCGGGAGGTTCGCGACACCTCCTACGGGCGCAGACCGGTGGGAATGCCTGGGAGCAGGCGATGGTGCTGGAGAATGGTAGGTTCGTGTTCTTAAGAAAAGCAGGGTGAGATCATTCCACCCACTACACCGTGGCACCCCTTTCCAGATTTCGAGGATGTCACCTACCAGAGTGACTGTTGCATTTCATCGAGGATCAACTCGAGAAGCCTGGCGACGGCAAGTCCTGACGGACGATTGGACTACATCGAGGAATTGTGACATTGAGGGTGTCTATGAGTGGACGGGGTATGCCTTCTTCTATGTCCGCTTCGTGGGCGCAATGGAAGGGGTTCAGCTTGATCCCAATTGTGGACTGGCTCCAGGACCGCAGCCTCCTCCGGGAACCATTGAACAGGCCGATCGGGGCTATGGGAACACCTCGTCAACTCGGTCTCGTGCTTTGGAACGGGGTAGGAGTGTGGAACTGCCTGTGAGAGAGAAGACAGTGAAGGGGTCCGCAGTGGCCTATGATGGATCTGCAATCGCTGCTCGTGGCACTACCTCCTCCGATGGTGTCCCAAGCGCTGGCTACATTGAGCGGCTTCAAGGACATCAAGCTCGAGGAGAGACCCACACGGATGAGGTGGAAAGGGCCTGGGAGCATTCTCTTTGCACTGAAGGTCTTCATCCGCCTGAAGCTGACACCTGGCCTGAGTGGATGGGAATTTCGACTGCAGTAGGTCAAAGACCTGAGACGCCGGGCTTAAAGCTTGAAGAAGATTCGCAGTCGGATGGTAGTTTTGAGAAGCTGGCATGACTGGATGCCCTTTGGAATGATGGTACCCCATCATTGGGGGAGTGCGGGCAATGAAAAGCCCATGCCATCCAATGTTTTCGAAAGGACGAAACGCGATGAACATTCCGCGTCGTTCGAACGTTTGGCTCAAGAAAGAGGCGCGTGCATGTGCGCTTCGGTTTTTTCATTTACCCGCTCACAATATCAAAGCTTTTATTTTACTTGCGGACCCCTCTTTGGCCAAGGCTCGACTGGGCTGAGCAGGCTTGGGTGAGCCGCATCCCATGGCCGTGACCGAGATCACCGGTGAAAGGTAGCTGGAACAAACCTCCAATAACAAGATCATATATATCCCTGGGCCTCCAAATACCTTCTGAGAAGGTGTTAGGGGTGGGTGCCAGGAGGGTCCAGTCATACCTTCTGAGGAAGTACTTGCGCTGCTTTGAACAAGTAAAACAATCTTACTTCTTACCCATGCCAGGAGATTTACCCCTGTTCGGAAACATCACCAAGCACCTTATTATAAGCTAAGCAGACTGCTAAGCAGGTATATATTCCAGTCCCATGGATTTCTTAGACCGATCGCAACGAAGCTGAATTCAGGACCCCTCTGAAGGCCAAGACTCGACTGGTCTGAGCAGGCTTGGGTGAGGCGCAGCCCATGGTTGCCAGCCACCGAGATCACCGGTGAAAGGTTGTTGGAACAAACCTCCAATAATAAGATCATATAGGATCCAATTCCAATTCCACCCAGAATGTATCACACAATTGAAAACATTTTGATATATCTTGATGCTGCTCAAATGGGAGCCTCTCTGATCTATGTGATTCTACTAGGTTACTAGGTGGAGGCCATCGCCATTAGGTTGGAGGCCATCGCTACTAAAGGCAAGAAGCTACTTGGGACTCCTGGCCTTACTACTAATAGCATTCTTACCTACTGGGAACAAGAAGCTAGTAAGATCGAAATTCGGAGACCTCAGGGGAAGTCCTCAAGCTTTTCACCTATCGAACGTCTCGAACGCGATTCCTGCTTGGGGGGGCCGGGGCTGCTGATGAATCCGTGGGCCAAGCGTCAATCAACACGTCACCAAGAGTCCGTCGATTGCGAGATCGTGAGACTGTGAGTAGCAAGTCTTGCGAATCTGCGGTGCTGAGATCGTGGCCCCTTGGCTGTGAATAGGCCGAGAGGTCAAACATTGGATCTACAACAAGTGTTACCATGTTTTTCTTGATGCATCAACATCGGAGTTCTAGTTCACCAAGAAAGGGGCGACAAAAAGCGCCTTCTAGTGCCAAAAGAAAAAAACTATAATCGAGGGACCCCCTAGCTTGGGTGTGGGGTCTACCCCCCCACCTGGAGATACCTTATTGAGGGGTCCCTATAAAGTGATCTCCTGGTAAACTGCTACTACCACACTGTCCAAACAGATGAAGAATACTCTCAGAAGCTGCCACTCAAACTTCTACACTGGCGTCCCCTCTTCCATCTCCCTACTCAAGCAATTGCTAACAAGAGTTAGAGATGGCACGCATTGGCACGCGACCGCAGGTAGAATGGCACTGCAACCACTGAATTTTGAAGTGGATTGCTGACTGATCTGAGTATATAATTACATGCCTCACCTCAAAATCTACCAGCAAGGTGCTTACTTCTTGAAATTACGCCTGAACCCCTTTTCACCATGTTTGGAGGACATGGGTCACTCGGGTTACACAATTCAATGAAATTCATGCCATTTGTTCCTGAACCACTGCAATCCCAAAAATGCTTTCAGGGCATAGAATACCTTCTACCTCCTTCTGTCAATGCCTCCGCAAACATTCCATGTATGGCATTTTGCGCCTGCATTGGCCCCTTGTCAACCACCCTAATTCATGTTGATTGGTGAGTACACCAGTCCCAAACACGTCGTGTCTGGCTTTACATCTCCGTCCCCATCGTCCAAAGGTGCCCCATCGTCCTCAACGCTCTCCTGACAACGCGAACAACCACGACCCCTCTGCACCCCGCCTCTCGTGTTTCTGCCCGTTTGGCTGTCAAAACCTCGGACATCCCACGTTCGTTTGAAAAAAGAACACGTAGAACACGACCCGAACCAAAACAAATATACCGCAACCGTGCCACCCATGTTCGGAACCTGAACCGAACAGGTCGAAGACTTGGCTCTTTGACACCTGAGCCCTGGCCCGGCTTGGACCTGTGTGGCGAAGGTGGGTCGAACTCACTGAACCCTCCGATGTGTGCACTGCAGACTGTATAGGTGCCAGCCAGTCGGCTCCAGTCGTACCGAATCGTACGGTGGATCCCCTATACCTGTTGGATGTGATTTGTTGCCCCCCCCAAGAAGCAGCGAGCAGTGCGATGGTTTTGCTTGAACATCGAAGCTGGGTCGATCTGGGACGAACATGAGGGAACTCACGTACATTTGCATGTATAATTGTTTCAGAGTCTGTTTGAAACACATCTGGACGGCTTCTTGCGGCTTCTGCTTGGTTTCGTCGACCCGGACGGGCGTGACGAACGTCCCTTGCGGTACGAGGACGTTCGTAAAGCGGAAGAGGGCCAACGACAGGCTCGGTGATGACTCGACTGGTGCGGAGGTCGAGTCATGGCAGGCAATGCAAAGCACCCCAAAGATGTCCTGATGGCAACTCCCGTGGTCTCCAGATCTGAAACTCTAACACTTGCTTAATCGGCCATGCAGTGCAGTGCAGTCCATCCATTTGGCTGAGGGCCAAAACCCGGACCCTTTAATAAGCCCCGGTAGGTTGCTCTCCCGTTGTAGTCTATTCTGTTCATCTTCGGTGGGAAAAACCATGAAAAACCAGGGTTGCCTGGTTTTGATCCACACCCATTGGGCATGACCAAAACCATTTGGCCATCCAGAAACGATGGCTGGGTCACCACACATCACATTATACTGCAGCATCCCTGGCGTGTGGATCGGCGTGTGTGGCGACAGTTTCAAGCGGGGAAACACGAACCATGAAACGACATGAAAACTGATGAAAACCCTACAGTGGTGGGGCTCATAATGAAGTGTTTCAACACTCAACTGCTTCTTTCAGGACGGCTCACTGGAGCAAGGATGATCGGTGGCTTGCGAACCACGTGATAGCTTCCCAAGTCCATGCAAGTGAAGTGTGATGCAACTTAGACTTAGAGCATTGACAAGCCTTCATCCAAAGAAGCCTCCCAGAGAGTGTTCCTCTCTGTGTCATTCTATTCATCTCAAGCTGTTCGAGCAGCAGACCAGGTCCATTTCAGACTCGGAAGGAAGGCAAGGGTCATTGGTTTGACACCAAACATGTGTGTTTTCACGATCTCAAGCTCCATTCAAGCTCCATATCGCGCTGCTTCTTCACTCGAATTCACACCGCTTCCGCGGAATCCGCTCGTTGAGTACCTGAACGTCCAGCTGCCCCGGGGCCCCAAAAAATACACTGAGCACTGAACACTGAACATCTCTTGGAGGTTAAGGTATGCGGAAACCGCACCAACACCTGAACAGATCGACTACTGTCGCACGGCCTTCCCACTGTCGCCCATTCCTCCAACGGCACCGGGCCTGGCGATGGTCGAAACGAGGTGGAAAGGACATGGGTTTGATGGCCTTTTGAAGGGTCCCCCAGTGATCCAGTGAAAGAGGCATCTCTTGTCACTTGAATCTGGGAGTCGGACTTTGAAGAACCAGCAGAAGTCTGAATATGTAGCCATTGGTAATCACTAGGTGAGCGTGATGATCCTTGGGCCTATAAGGAAATAAAGATATCTAAATACATATATGACCACAACATCCAAGTGTTGTGCCCAATTTGAGGCGAGAAAGGATCTTGAACATCTTTGAAGGGTTGGCAAGAATGAACCGCCAAACAGGTCAGGCACTTGTTACATACCCCTGAGAATCCTTTCTTCTGGGTCTATACATAATGAGCGATTATATATGTTTCCCTGTTGTTGTTGATCAGGGTCATAACACCAAATGTCTTCCTCTACAACAACGTTCCTCCACCACTCTCAGATGGCTGAACCTAACTCTCAACCAACAAACACATGGACCGTTTCCTGCGCACATCAGCATTTTCACTGCTTGTGAAGGAGCAGCACATCAGTGGAATAAGGTATCCGAATCTGATCGTACTCCAGGCTTCCATAGTACCGAACCTCAGAACAGGCAGGTAAAAACCTCCGTCCGTCCGCAGTGCTCGTGTCCCTCGGAAGAGAAGAAGGTGTTTGGGGTGGGTTTAGAGGGTCCAAATACCTTCTGAGGAGGTACTTGGAGCCCTAGGGCCTGCTATGAAACCTGGTAAAACATTGATTGTGAAACACCGATGGTGCTTGGAGACACTATCTGTAGGCAGTGGAAGGTCCAGTGGTATTTGGATCCGGGACAGGCTTCAGGCTGTGTAGGCCGACAGAATACCCAATTAGTTCATGAATTGAATACCCTCAAGTGAACAAGGATCCGAATCCAGGCCCTTGTGGAAGGGGGTCTCCTGTCCGGGTCCCGGTCCGTCCAACGACGTGAGGAGTCGGTACCCTGTCCGTCCAAGTTCCAATCGACACGAGTCCAAGGGCGGTACCTGGAGTTTGGAGTCTCGTTTTTTCTCCCAAAAGGAGTTATAACTTGTCTACTAAGATATTCACAAAGGGGTGCGTGCCTATTGGAGGTTAGGGGTGTCCAGAACATCCACTCACTTGGGGACCAAACACCACCCCTGGCTGTGACTAGTGGTACTAAGATATTCACAGGGTTTTTTCACGTATACCTTTTGTGCAGTAATAGAGTCATGTCACCTTTTCGGTACTTGAAGCGGGTCCGTCAGATTCTAAAAATGGACTCCTCCGGCGAAAAAAAGGCCAGGTGCCTAAGTCTTCTTGCTACTACTAGCGATGCTTTTTGTTGCTAGTGGCTTCTTGTTATATACTATAGTAGCGATGGCCTCCAACCTAATAGCAACGGCCTCCACCTAGTAGCTTCTAGCTGCTAGTAGCTTCCTGCTACTAGTAGTAAGGCCAGGAGCGCCCCTAGTAGCTTCTTGCTACAAGGCTCGATTTGCTCAAAGAGAGTCTTTAGATTCCGATTGGACAATCTCAAAAACCTGCAACCCAAAGACCTGTCTTTTTGGGGGGACCATACAAACGCGATTTGTTGTGGTTTGCACCACTTCTTGTACAAATGCGCTGAATCTGAGTTGATTTTCCTATACATCGCCATTGATGCCCTGACCTGCATCTTGTTGCCACCCTTTGCTCACTCTGTTCTGCCCATTGATCGTATGACGGATCCTGACAACCTACCTCCCCAAAAACGTGTCCTAACGATACGTGTCCATCCTCCGGTTGAAGGAAGGATTTTTCTTCGAAACTTTTGGTTCGCTGCCCCAGAACGTTCCAAACGCACTCGGTGTGACGTGGCTGCCGATGCTTTTTGCCAACGACTTAGTCTCGTTCCCCGGAAGTCTCATTTCCCGTTTGGAAACGATGAATGAATTCATGAAACAAAAAGAACCACCGAAAGATCCAAGTGTTGAAACACGTGGGTGTAGCACATGTGGGGAGACCTGCCTATTAGACACTCTGGAAGAGGGAACATGGACCTGTCTCCCTATTAGAAACACACCCAAGTGTTAAAACCTGTGCCAGGGAAGTTTCGTGAACAAGAAAAACACCGGCCGAGCTTTTAGAGAAGTCTTGCAGCTCAAGAAACCACCAAGTCCTGTGGGGTGAACATGGGCGAAAAACTTCGTGGGTGGAGCATGGTGGAGCTGTTTACCGTTGGGAACGCCTCCCGACATGGTGGTTCACGCCTCAACGCCTCCTGACCTCCCATCTCCTAACTAGACCGAGATTCGTTCGATGTTGGGGGGGGCTTCCTCTCTTTCGGATCCACTTCCGTAAACAAACAAAAGCTTATTTTTGTGGAAAGAAACACTGGATGGTAATGTTGGAAAAAGAAGAAAACACCAAGAAGGAACCATGGGGAAAAGAGAAGGATTTTCCGGGAGGACCGCCGGTGGTCCTCTCTTGGACCCAACCGTCCCATCCCGAGTGGTGCGACCAAACCGGTGCGGTTAACGGGTCTCGGGGACTGGTCGCCGGGCAAAGCAAGGCGGTGTTTTAAGGCGGTGAAACGAGGAGGAACAAGCTACGGGTAGATCTGGTGATAAAACCTATCAGATACCGGTTTAAACAAGCTTGTATATATGATCTATCTATCTATCTATCTATCTATCTATCTATCTATCTATCT